ATTGTTCACAGTTTTTTCTATCCTCATTTACCCATCCGCCTCCGCCATCAGCAGGTATCCAGTCCTCGTTTTGCAGACACCTCCTTTGCTAGCCGATTTTTTTAGCTGTTTACCTTGCCTACAAGCCTTAAGCTGAACACTCAAAGGAGAAGTGCACCAAGTATGTGTGCATTTAAGGAGGAGGAACGGAGCGTCCTTATTTCTGTGACATTACTGAAAGGAATTACAAAGTACAAAATAACTGTGTCAACTATTGGCATCACGTTCTGTATCTAAGTGAAGGGTCCAACCATGTGACTGCGACTTGAAAGAAAGATTTCTTTCCTTTGTTTGTTTGTTTATTTTTTTTTTTCCATCCGCATTTCTCGTTTTTTCCTTTTTACTTTTTTTGTTATCCGCATTTTTTTCCATCCGCATTTTTCCATCCGCATTTTCCCATCCGCATCCGCCATCCGCAGGTATCCGGTCCACGTTTTACAGACACCCACTAGTCACAGGGTTCTTTTGCTTACGCATTTTTTCCATCATGGACCCTGCATTCCTCACAGTACCAAATATTTAGGTTTTGTATCATCATTTCAAGGACTTAGATTCAACCTAGATTTAGTTCGCTGAACAACTTATTTAAAAGTTAGGTATTCCAAAGAGAAAATCTAAAATAAATCAAGCGGCAATAGTTCTCCATTTCCCGCCACATGGCGTAATCCGGGCGTAATCCCAACATGTTTTTACCTCATTGTTTAATAGCCTGAAATCGACCTTTCCTTCGTAAAATTACTTTCCGAGACTTGCAATTTCAATCCTGTAAGAACTTTAATCGGGCAAAATGACAAAAAACACACTCAGGTCGCCTTTTTCACCATTCAAATTTCTTCAAAGCGTAGGAACGAAATGGGTAATTCTGTCCTTTCGCCTTGATCGACTGAGCGACTTGAACTGTTGTAAGATGTTTGCTTGCATTTCTAACAAAGCCAAGATGCATATAATTCTTGCAGTTAAGTGCCGCATAAAAGGTGTGGGCGAGAAAACCTTGTAAGAAAGAAACTCACCTGCTGCCATCCAGCGTCAGAGACGAGCTTCCAAGACCTCCGTCATGTTCCGTCATGTGATCACTGCAAGATCACTGCAGAACTGCAGAACCGAGACGAGCAAACACTGCCCCAGGACTTCGCGGCTCTTGGGTGTGACCATCCACTGAGAATCGCTCAATTTTTATACCATGAATGCGTGACAAACGAACCCCAAAGGACGTCTGCGGGGAGGCTACTGATTCAGTGGCTCCTGTGCAATATCCGAATAAATATTTTCACAAAATTAATAGAGATTTGTATGGAGACGCCATGCTAGTGCCCATCCGGCTGGTGTGTACAAAATGGAACAGTATGGTCGAATTGCGGTACAAATGATACTGGGTAGCCATTCGACTAGCCTCCCGCGCAGGCGTTTTTAGCGGAGCTCGTATTTCATCCCTCCCCTAAAAACGCCTGCGTGGGAGGCTACCATTCGACGTTCCCAACTCCATTCCATTCTACTCGTGCCGAGTTCAAATCCTCGGCCACGCTTGTAAAAAGCCGCTAACTGGTTGCCTCCTACCAGTTGGGGTTTTTACTCCTGTTATATTGCATTTGAATAATTTGTTTCTAAGTATTTGAGTGGAGTGCCTGTAAACTAGCTGGATAAGCTACATGTTGGTGCACCTTCCACTATAAACAAGCCTTTAACCCTTTAAACTCTATAGAAAAAAATGCCAGTTGACGAATTGAACGAGATGGAATAAGCCGATATTAAAGGTTTGAAGCAGCGGGACTTCACTTTTTACATGACGTTTTCCTACCCGTCCCCGTTGTGTTGGTTTTAAAGCTCCCTAATCTTCACTATTAATTAAAAGACTTGCCAACCATCCTGTTCTGTTGAATAAGTTTAGCTACCATTTGCTTCTCATAAACAAATAACACGCCCCGATAAGGTTGCGATCCTCTGGTCGTTCCCACATGTTAATTTTTCACCGTTTGAATGATTTCGAGAATGCTAACCAGTAGATTATTCAACACAGCCTTCGGATTAAACTGCTTTTGGTGTCCTCTGAACACGAATTGACGGTTACCTTTTCCTACGCTTTGCCACTTTTCCGCTTGTTTAAACTGAAACGTCAAGTTGTGAACGGGTTACCATAAAATGCCCTAAGATTCGTTAAACTTGCTTACCGGTTTGTCTCTCTCTAGTTTCCACAAGCTTCGCACGCTAAACTGACTTTCGGACCCTTTCGCTCCAATGTTGAACATTCGACTGAAAAACATCCTTCAATGAAATGTTTCGTGGAGAGAACAAACATCAAGCGTTCTATACAATACTGACGATAAAAACTGATCCTATTAGGAATTACCAAGAGACACGCCTAACGCATTGCGTTCCAGTTTGAACAAGAGCTGTTGTTTAGACTTTTGATTACCTTTCGCACCACTATGAAAAACGTGAGAAAGGGTCCTGACAATGAATAATAATAATAAGAATAAGAATGAAACAATAAAATTAAAAACTTTTGACCAGGATAAAATTCTACCACAACATGTACATGTGAAACCCATGCAAACCTTACAGTAGGCCCTTTGCAAAGAGTAATTCACGTGGTACAAAACGGCCATGCTGGACAGCAAGAGAAGCACTGAGACAAGACAAACAAAGGTAATCACCATCTTAAAAGGCAGTGTAGGAGCTACACGTAAGGTCTCTCCTAATTGGTCGCAGGAAACAAGCACATGTCATTCTTCAAATTGTTTTAGTATTGTTTGGGGTCAGGGAAACGCACAGTTAGTGACTCCTCTTCCGAGCCCAGCTGCTGCTCCATGACCGTTTTAAATATTGTGAGCGTTTTGTTTTTCTTGTCCCAGTGCGTTCATTGTTATCTGGCATCGTGGTTCCAGTGTATCACGTGAATGACAAGCTGCTGCGCGGGAGAGGGAAGGGCAGGGGTGTTTTCCCCCCACCCCTTTTGGTGGTTTAGAAGAATTTTACCAGATCAAGTTGATTACTTGAGAAATAACTTTATTTACACAAAGCACTCTTTTTTTCAGCGCATACTCTCTGAGCTGGTTACATCTGGAAAAAAGATCAACTATGCTTTGTTGATTTTGGCAATTCCAACAAGATAAAGTGCTGTGTAATTCTGGAATAGTCTGCCTTTGCCTATAAAAGTACTGAAGAAAACTAAATTATTATCGGAATTAAGGAAGTGCTTCTAAACATCCTTGAATCTGAGCATGATTATAATGAAGCTTTGCCGTTTCACAGTCGCATTCTCTCTGTAAAGGATACCAGATAATGTAAAAATAAAAGCACTGGAGAGCGCCTAGGGATTATGGATGAATACATTTGAAAATTTGTTTTGTTTTCTTTTTTCCAATTTTACTCGAGCCCGCCTCGAATAGCTAGAAGCTACCTGGGGGCATTAAAGTATTGTTTGTTTTTTGGAATTAGCCTAGTTGTTCTTGTTGTTGGAAAGACCGTTTTATAGCTTCTCAAGTTTTCTCAAAAAAGTAATTTTAAGACAAACAAAACAACAAACAAAATACAACTGACCACCATATTGTTTGACTGAGTTTATTTCAATCGTTTTGCGTGTCCCCTGTGATATGGAAGGCGTAAGGACCCCCCACCCAGCCCCGTGGAGACATCTCCTACTTACTTTGTTGCTCTCGGAAAAGGGACGTGCAAAATGAAACAAAGGACATAGGACAGGACTACAGGCAGGCTATTCTCAGCACAGCTCAATTGTCTTGAGAATATAGTTCAAAGTTTCTCCTAAAAAAGAGCCTACACTGGCCCCTTTCTTTTCGTTTTCAACAGACATTTTACCTCTAACTTTATCTTTCTCTCTCTAATTAATACGAAAAGTTTGGCTCCGTCCCGACTATGTCCGTCTTAGATAGTTGACTTAATAGAAATTTCCTTGCAAGGAAGGCCATTCGTTTGACCAGAAATTTTAGGACATTCTTAACCACAAGTCGTCTATGAAAATGTTTAATTTCCATGCACTGCACAATGACTCTCGTAAGGTAACTGTCTATTATAGATTCTGAAATTCCCTGCCAAGAAGAGTCCACTGAAATTTCTATGAACATTTGAAAGATAAATAGTTCATAGTTAACTCAAAATTGTTGAGACAAACGGAGTGTACTATGGAGGATATACGAAAATAGAGAATACCAACGCACACCACCAAACCAGCGCACACATATTAGCTGCGTTATAGAGAATTTCAACGAATGTAGAAGAAGTGCAGAAAATTAGCGTACAGATGTTTACGCAGGAACGTCGGTAGAGAATAAACGCCACGAGCAATGTTATCTTTGGAAAGTGAAGAAGGCGTGAGCATCTTTCTCTCCATCCACGGGACCTGTTGTCTGCAAAGGAATACGAACACGATAGAATATAGGCACACGGCATTGCGCACAGAAAGTTCCTGTTAGTATAGCTTATCAGGGCTTCTCCCATAGCAGTGAAGGTAGTCACTTTTTGCGGCGCGTGAGGAACACGTCTTACCTTTCTTTGAAGTATCACCTCTGTAAGCGGTATTAGGCGTGATAAGACAAGAACATTGTAACCGTGCAAAATACCGTCAGCGACTAAATCGACTGCTTCTATTTATACTCTTTCAGAGATTTTCTAATACCCTGGGTAGCAGAGATTATGTTTTGGCGCGCGGCGGGATGTTTCGAGGGCGGAGGTAGAAAACCACGAGACTTGAACCAAAACTAGAAAACGCGCACGAAAAGTCTCTGACACCTAGCCTAACCTAGGGTAGTTGTCACGAAGTGCTTTTCTTTTTTCAGGGATAAACAAAGAGAAAACTTTATTTTACATACAGATAAGTGCGTCAAAATGGCCTCAGCTACAGTAAATACTATTCGCGTAGCAATTATATAGTGTGCTTGCAGTCTGGACTGAGATAGCCGTCACTTCTGACGTCAGCTACAAAATAAGTTGGAGTTTAAAAATTTATTTTTAAATTTTACACCAACCTTGCATCCAGCACTTTGAGCCATGGATGTTATCTTTTTTAGGTATTCTTGCATTTGTTCCGGTTTGAGGTCCAACATGAACCTTGACAATTGAACACAACACGTAACATTATACAAAGTCGTCTCGTTTACAAGTTGATTCAGACGAGGTACAAATAGCTTTTCGTAGTTAGCTTATGTAACGGGGAATATTCACGCTATAAGTTTGTCCACGCGCTAACTATACCTAAGTATTTGAAATTGTTGAGCAGTTTCACTGCTTAAGTTTGTATCGAAACGACTTGTATCGCAAAAACTTTGTATCCAAACGACCGGTTTTCCAGAGGTGGAAACCCTGTGATGGACTAGCATCCCATGCAGACCCGGTTTAATCTACGGCCGTGTTGACAACAAACCAAAAACGAAATTAGGCTGGTATACGAAAGGTTCTATACGAAATAAACCTTAGCAACAATAACCTCAACTTTTACATGGAGGTGGGGGACCCAGGTAGGTGAGCTACCCCGCATAGGTGGGATACCCGTCTGTCCATATAATCTCTCATTTTTAAAATTTGATCACGTTTACATGATAAGTGGGGTGACCCGCCACATGTTACCTCACCTACCTCAGGTCCCCCACCTCCATGTAACTAGGCCCTAACTTTCTTGATTCCGTCACCCTGTGTCACCGACTGAGAAAACATCATTCTTATCACCCACAGACACTGAGAGCGGTACTCTTCTCCACAATTTACGCCTCCGAATCAAACCAGGTGCTCAATTAAGATGCCGTGCGATTTTGTAGGGTTTCAAAAGCTGAATATCTAGCAGCTGGAACGATCCAAATATCGAAACTTACTTGGTTGTTTCAGCAATAACAATAGCTTCATCAGCAAAGATTTCTTTTACTTCCGGAGTCAATAAATGGACCATACTACAATTAATAAACAAAAAAATCCATAAATAAATTAATTAAGGACTTGTTCTTGTTTTTTGTCACTCTACTACTTCAAATTTAGTGTCCATCTCTGTATATTAATCCATCTTTCTTTCTTTTTTTTTTCTTTTTTTTATATTATCAATCTGTATTTCTTGCTCTCTTTAAAATTAATTAATCCATAAATTAGCCTATTTCCTTATTTCTGGTCATTAGCTTCCAACTCCCCTTTAATAACTCGGACTTTTTTCGACTTTCCTGAAAGGTTCGAGATATCAGGAGTCAATTGAGTCCCAATTGTAGAGCAAAAAAACAAGTTTCGGCTGCGCCAGCTTTTGACTCGGATAAAGCTCCATTGACCTCCATTCTACGAACCAAGGAAAAATATAAAGATGCGGTCACACTAGACGTCTTCCCCAAGGCTCCCCATGGGGAAATAGCTTAGGTTGGGTTCACTCTGGGTTTTGAACAATTTCATCTTTGCGGCCACACAGCCATAAATGGCACAAGGGGAAGAAAACACTTGAATCCGGTTTCGCGGGTAACGTTGTGGTAAACATTAAAGGCTGACATAAATCGTCAACGGTTTCGCCAATTTTTACCCTTTCAATAAAACCGCCACATCAATTAACCTTGGCAAGAGTGATTCAGCCCTTTTTAGAAACTCAAAAGGAAGACGTCGAATTCATTCGCGCTTATAAGAAAACCAAATTCTGACCCATTCTCGCTTAGAAGTCAAAAGTACGTTTTCAACGACTTATTGAAAAGAATTCTTGAACAGCGATTTAAAGAAAACGTGCGAGTGTTTCAAGGTGCTTTTGAATATATTTTACGCAAAAACCTGAAAAACTTTCACAACAGTGCTCAAAATCCTGCTGAATTTTGGAACTTTGAGTTTAGTTTTCGCGTAGGATTTGGCCCCAAGACGAACATAAGACGTAAACAACACGTGATTTCTACTGCTTGGTACATTTCACTTTCTCGTGATTGGTTGAGCCGCTTTGGGTTTTTATTAACCCATACAACTTACGTCGGGAACTGACATGGGTAATATTCTTTTGCTCTTTTTACGACTTCCCTCGAGGCAATTTCATCTTGGGAAATCGGTCACACACAAAAATTTGCTTCCCCATGGGCAACAGCCACTTTCACATGGGTAAAATCGCTAGGCTGTCCGCTCCTAATTATGAGGGTTCGTACTCTTTTGAGCTCTTCAAATTCCATGACTTTTTCCATGACCTTGTTTAGTTTTCCAAGACCTTAGGTTTAGCTGTCATTTTAAAAGATTTTTTAGGACTTTCATTTGAGGGTATTCAGTTTGGACCTTAAACAGTTCAGCAGACACAAACTCTGGTGTCCACCAAGATGCGTGCCGTTCGTGCTGTTCAATCACTTCGCTGTATCTTACATTGCCCTTGCCTTGTCATCGGCAGTGACTAATCTATCAAACAAAACTTTAATTTTCCGTGCCTTACTAGGACCGACGACTAAATTACATAACTTTCCATTCCTGGAAAATGAAATGCTTAAATTCCATTTATCCAAAATTTCTGGAAATTTCGGTCTAAAACTCAATGGATCGGTTCGGTCCAACCGGAAAAGTTTCGAAACTGGTGGACCAGCTTTTTCGAAACTTTTCCGGTTGGACCAGTCTGAATTTTGGTTGAATAGATCGCGCTCAATAAAACCTTTCGGCGAATTACTGACAAAAATTTCCTTCCACATAAAAAGCTAGCGTAATCGATTTTGAGACGCAAATTTCCCTCCAAGTATAAGCCTACCCGATTTTCAAACACAAATTTGCCTCCGTATATAAACCCCTCAAAAAGGGCCTTTGAAAAATATAAGCCCCGGGGCTTATTTTAGGAATTTTACAGTATGACAGAAACTCGACAAAACAATCAGGCACGCGTTCACATACCTGTTTGAAAAGTAAATGATGTCAAACAGTTTGCTGTACTTGCTTTTCCTTGGCAGGTCAGGAACAGAATTTATGGGAAGAAAATGGACTTTAACACCGGGGCACTTCATATATTCTTGGAAATAAAGAAATAGAGGATATTACATGGCCGCACGGAGAAACAAAATTTCTCTTCGAGTGGTGAATACGAGAAGAGATATTTCGTATCTCCAAGCGACCATGTAATGTTCTATTTATTATGTAAAAACAAGAGCCATAATAGGACAGGTCCTATTATGATCTCTTGATAAACACTAATGAAATACCAAACCATTTCACTTTTGCTGTGAAAAGGCGCGATTTATTATTATGTAGCCGTAGCAACGGTGATCTTTTCACATGTCATTGGTGTTTATATAATATGATTTTTATTATTCAGACAAAATATCGGAGTAGAGAGTCAAGCAAATCAGCCGGGAAAACCGCAAAAATAATGTAGGAGAAGTTTTACCATGTAGTGATTATAGCAAGCTGAGATCCAGAAATACCCTGAGCGTAAGTGCTCGCGGACGAGTATGTTAAAGAGACTTCCAGAGAAAAGGAGGAGTAACAAAGTGGAAATTAGACGTGAAAGTCAAGATAATCTTTGGTCAGTTTAGTTATCAAGAGGAGGACAAAAGGATAGTGGTCGGCTTCTTGTTTTCGGCACAATTAACCAGCTTTAAACTGTCCTGTAATTACTGTGTTTATACGACATTTTTCCCCGGTTTATTTTTAGTTGTGTTTTTCCTTTGTGCCGCCTTACTTACCTCGCGACTGAGGAATTATATCTTGCTTGTCCTTTACATCTTCTTTCTCTTCCGGCTCTTTTTCCTCCTCCGTGACTTCCTGCAGAGTTGCTTTTCCTTTCTTTTCCTTTTTCTTCTCGCCAGTTTTAGGCAGAACGTACTTCTGCCCCGTCATCATTTCATGCATAAGCGCTGTGACATTAAATTCGGATACATGAGTTGCTGTCTAAATATGAAAAAAAAAATCAGACAAAATTGTGGCATTGAGATAGTTCTCTGTATAAATTTCAGTTGGTAAGAACATTCCAAGGAACAGTCTATAGATAGGATCAAAGTGACTTGTTGCCATCCCCGCTGTTCGACAAATAAACTTCACAGTGAACAAACAAACCAGTTTTAAAAAGGAAGAGTTTGAAGATCAACTCGATGTAAAAAAGACTTCTATAACTTGGAATTGGAAAGTTCGGGCCTAGCTTTGTTGGAAGATTGTATGGTATGATAAAATAGTACAATTTTGACAAGAGGTAAGTGTACAGGGCACGATGGGAAGAGAGAAAGTGCCTCCACGACGGGTAACCGGTCGTTTCGCCCGGACGTAAGTCGATTTGCCCGATGTTTATTTGTCGTTTTTTAAGCCTGAAAAAAGTGAATAAGCGTGAATGACGGTGCCTGTACATATGGATCAACAACTTTTTCCAGTAGAAACTTCACACAAAATATATATAAATTTTTATCAAAATACTTACTTTAACATGTTGGCCATTAGAGGTTTTAAAGAGCGACTCTTCCTCGCTCTCAATGCCGAATGCTAGATAGGGACTGTTGATAATGTCACCCCAGTAACCACGGCGGGCGAACCGCTCACCATCCTAACATAAAAACCATTCAAACATCAGTCAAGTGTCAAAGAAGTAAAACCTGCTTTCACAGTCTCGTAGCTGTCTTTTGTCATGGCAAAATAGAAAAACAAAATGATTGGAATGAAAAGAAGATAGTGGAAAATTTTTCACAAATCTCTGAAAATGGTTCATCACTTTTGGGTTGACTGGGTCTTTATTTTGATCTCCCGGCATTCTTCATAGCATCATACTTTGGAAACTTTTGTGAAGTGCTGTTTGCTTGTCAGTATTTTACAAAATATTTTGTAATTTTTACTGTTTTCAAAGAGCAAACTAGGGTTTAACAACACCCTACTGATAGCCTTCGGCCATTCTCAAACTAAAATCAATCTTTCCTTTTCAGTAATGGTTTCAGGCATTTTGAGATACGGAAGCTGTTTAAAGTTTGTATCTTCTCGTTACCTTTTTAATAATAAGACCTGAAGCCAACGATCTGTTTGATACTTCATATGTGGAGTCACTACGCAGTTCAAATGCCACACCCTGTTCCCGCCAGCTCTTATACTCATGACTGTTAATAATCGAGGCCTGTATGAAAGAAAATTAAACAAACAAAGTTCAAATCAGTGCGCTATCAATAATAACACATGAAGTAATAAAATACCAAACAATGCCACTAAAATCGTTTTTTTTAGTATTTCTGTGCTCTAGTTTCAAATTTCGCCCATTTTTTCCCAAAAAGTACGGTTTCTGGGGCATTTTCGCAAATATTTAGTCTGCACTGACAAAGATTGTTTCATCATTACAATGATGAATGCAAATTTTGATGGTATGTATTTGATGTAAGACCTCATATAATGACCAAAACCATTCCCATGAGTGTCATAATTGGGGGCTGGGTCATTTTGTGGGGTGGGGGTCTGTTGGAATTCAGGGGAAGAGGGAGTGCAAGAGATAGAGTCTCCAGACTTAAGATCGCCAGAGGTTGGGATCTCTGCCTTAAAGTTAAGATGAAAATGGGAATGATGGCAAAATGAACACAAACAAGAATAATTTGATACCCACAAAGATCAATTTGCCACTTAATAGTTTGTCATAACTTATAAACAACAAATTTCTACCTTTTTGGACAGTTTCATGTTGTAATCCCAGTCAAAGATATTGTGTCTTGAGTCATAACGAGTTGTAAAGTATTGCCTTAACCTCTCTTCCCTAGGAAAAATGATAAAAAATATATCAAATAAAACATGGGATCTGTTATGAAAGCAACTCAACTGCTTAATTCAGCACTTCCCTGGCGACAGATAGCCACACTTATTCTTTTTTTTAATCATCACTATCACAAAAACTAGGAAACAATTTAACTACCAAAATGTATAGAAATTCTGATACGTCTCAAAAAAGATTTTTTTTAAATAATTGTCAAAGTTCAACTTAATATATACAGTTAGATTGATGCTTACCAATGCTGGCATATGTCAAACAGTTTGGGGTCTGTATTCCTCCAGAATTTAAAGATACTTTCCAGTTGGTCTCTCTCTTTGAACTACAAAAATTGCACAAGCCTGTTAGTTTTTTATTACAAACTAAACATGACAAACTACACTGTATTTATCAAAGCTCTGGGCCCAGTTGTTTGGAGGCCGATTAGCGCTTAACCCGGGGTTAAATCTAACCTGGGTTTCTCTTTCTTGAGTTCAAAAGCATTTTCTTGTATAATTTTCTCCGTTATATTTAGAGCTTTCAATCATCAACTTGAAGACAAAAAGAATTAGAACTGAAATGCTTTTTAAGCTTTCAAATCTGAATTCAAATCTCGCACTAACCCTGGGTTATCTTAACCCAGCTTTGAAAAACTCGGCCCTGAATAAGCGTACCCAAAAAAACGCTTTGGATGAACAATGAATTTACAAACAAAAAAGTTGATACTTTTCACTAATTTTGAAAGTTACCTACATGACAACAAACAGCCATAACTTAAAGTCAAACCGGGAAAACTGTGAACACCACAATTATTTCTGAAATGTTATTGCGTTGCAAGAAATAAGCCAATCAGGTGTGAGAAAATTACCATGCAAGCAACAATGTTAATTAGATTGTGGTTTTGTGGCTAGTTTGCATGTCCTGATCTTTGCTGTGAATGGTCAAAACACTATAAACAATTTCCCAAGATATTTCGAGTGTTCGCCTTTTTCCTAGTTGCAGTGTAAGACAGCGTTTAGAAAAACATTTACTGTTTGCAGTCCTCATAATATGCATTAATAAAAAAGACTAATACTAGTTACCTTCAGCTGAGAAAAATCAACCAAAGGCAAGAAAGCCTCCAAGTAATCAGAGTCTGTTATCATTCTGGAAGACAAAAGAAAAACATCCATTTCGATAATGTGACTTCCAAAAGTTGTTGCAGACAAATGTTTTCAGGTCATGTTTTTGCACAATTATTACGATAATCATATTTATAACAATAAAAAATCAATGTTGGGGAATAAGATATTGTTCATCATGGATTCTGTATGATAGGGCTTATTTTAGCACTTTTGTCATGATAATCATTTTTAACATTCACGCCATTTCATCAGTGTACTACTGGTCTTCATCAGTTGATGCTGTCAATTTGCTGTTCTGAATTGCTGTGCTGGACTTTTAATAACACCATCGTTGCTGGTGCATTTCCAACCCCACTAGTGGTTGGTCAATTCCAATCCTTAGTATTGTTAGTGTTAAATCTGTTCTGTGCACAGTGTACAATGGTACAAACTGTACTGGTTGTCTGATTGCAGGCAGCTTCACTCCTGGAAAATAATTTCTACTGTGTAAACTAATATTCATGTATAGGATGCTGCATTAGCAGATCAAGAAACATACTTGGGTCATATAATTTTCTCAACATGCAAATATGCATAAGACCAAACACTGTGCATGTTGGGATGAGTTCAACTCAATTTCAAGACCCTCAAGGGGAAAAAGATTATCAAATTAAGACCTCACCCAAACATGATAAATATTGTACATCTACAGTGTATATACTTATTATAAAGCTTACTTAGCAAAGTAAAGACTTCATGTTTTATTTACCTGATGAAGTCATTTGATTTTTGCTGCAAATATTCACTTGCTTGAGGTCTCACAAGGCTGTTCCCAAACAACTCAAGGAAAAGCTCAGTTTTTTCTAAACATTACAAACATGAATAAAGTATTATTGTGAAAGCAATAATATTAACATTATTCTGTGGTATTTTAGCATCTACATGTATACTTAGTACTTGGATACACAGACATCTTTCATAAATATAGCACTTATCGCTCCAACAGCACCCACATTTAGTATTTTTATCTCCACTGGACTGATAAGTCATCCTGGCCCCATGCTATTAGACAGCAGATTGTTTTTACTTTTAGTTCTTTTATAGAACTAAATCCAAAGGTAATGGAAACTATGCACAATAATAAATTACATCAAAAACATCTTGTAGGAGTACACATGTATATAAGTGAACACATTGAAGTTTAAAGTTTCAAAGAAAACATGGTCTATGTTGAAAAATGAAAAGTGTTAACTAAGGTAAATTTCATGGAACAATATTCATAAATATTTTATTATTATTTGCTTAAAAACTGTCTCACAGTTTCTAAAGAGTGTAAAAATTTCCTCCACATCCCACCATTTCTTCCTCATTGACATCACTTCAAAGCTAACCTTGCAAACCCAATCTGTCTTTGGGTTCAAGTGCAATAGAAAGAAGAAGGAGGTCTCTTCCATAAATCTCAAGATTATTCTCAACAACATATATCTGCAACAATAAAAATGATAAGAATGAATAAGGCAAACCCTGGCTTTGACTCTAGACCTAAGAAAGTCAGCCTTTTTCACTGGGCTTACTGTTTTTTTAAACATGTACATGTACATGTATAGACGGTGCACCATTTTAGAAATGTACAGGAAGTAAAGATACATGGCCATTGCTACTTGCAGTATCTCTAAACAAATCACCAAGGAATGCATGTACCATTTTCCCCCTAAACCAAAGGGTCCATCACATAGGGCTCTTACTAAGTGACAGTGGCTGGGGAGTTCCCTAGGCTACTATGAGCAAGACTGCTTCTACTACTTCACAGAAAATGAGAGGAAAGGTAAATCAAAAGAACTGTAAAGTTTGTCAATTCCCTGCCTACTAACTATGTACATGTATATGTCACACGTCAAAATTAAATTCAAGTTAATTTTTTTTAACATACAGGTGTAGGTTGATTCTCAATTTCCTTTGTTTCCTAGTATTCATGAATAATTAGGGCTCTGAGACAAAGAAAATTAAGAATCGACCTAGGCTTAAATATTTTAACCTGTTTCATTATTAATATACATGTGTATCCAGCAACTTAAAGTCTTACTGATAGCCATGATCATAGGAGGGCCAGTATAGTAATGTTCCTGTAACATAACAGTCTTTCTGTGATCCTCCTGCATATGTTGCCAGTAGTCACGTACAGTAAATCCTCTATTAAGCCTCCCTTTCTCTACTGAGCCCCTCTTCAAATGTGATTGAAAAAAAATAAGCCTTAAACACTAATCCATCAAGTCTCAGTTTACTTTCTCTATTATTACTCTAACAAAACTCACATTCAATGTTTTCTTAGAATGTCTCCAAGTATGTGCAATGGTCTTCAAAATGTGCCGGCAGTCTCCAGCCCCAATTATAAGGATGTTATACTTTCCTAAACAAAATTATAAATGAAATGATGAATATATGAATTTTATATATTGAAATCAATGAATAAAAAAAATGCAAAGAATATCATCACCATAACAGACACAACTTATAATATGCAGTTGCAAAAAGGAATTTGCATGTGGATATTAGGGCTTAAAGGGTTAAATTAGTTCATAATATACACAGGACAAGGGTTCATAATATACACAAGACAAAATAATATAGAGATTACTTCATGGAAAGTGCGTGCGTACGGGATTTTCACACGAGTTGGTGAAGTATCTGAAATCGAACGAGTGAGCACAGCGAACGAGTGAGATTTCTGATACAAAACCAACAAGTGTGAAAATCCCGTACAAAGCGCTTTCCATGCTGTAATTTGTTTATTTTATACATACTGAGATTTTTTTATTTATCCATTTTTAATTGGTTCTCTAAAATAATTACAAAACTCCTGTATTAACCCATTCGCTCCTGGAGATTTTGCCGAAAAACGCGTTTTGAAGCTAGTCGAGTGGTTTTCTGGTCACTGTCGTGCTTTAAAGAGCTAAAACTTACCACAAACTGGTTTACAGGTCGAACACTTCGCGGTCTTCTGATCCAGATGCAAAATATCAGCTTGTGAAGTTCGGGCATGCACAGAAAGCAAAATTTCGACATAGTTTTTGGGTTTAAAAGTGACACAGCAGTCTTGACTTTTACTTTTCGCTTTCTCTCCTCCCTTCTTTTTTTGCTTTTCTTGCCTCATTTTTTTTTTCTCTTGCTGGGCATTTAGTAGGCTTGATTTTGGTGGGAAGAGTTTTTAGGAAAGCTTTTAGGATCTTAGGATTAGGCGAAAGGAAAGGTAGGTGGGTAATGGGACAAGATTTTCATGGAGATTTTCAGGTCAATGTCACGTGGTTTTTTGCTTGTTTCTCCGGTGTCCTTGACTGAATTGTGCTCATTCTGGTATGGTTTGAAAGATCTCTTCACTCTGCACAAGTTAGTGAAGAAAGTTGTCCTTGACCGTTAAAACTGATGACGTCACAATGGGTAGAAAGGACCTGGATCCGCACGGGCGGTTACGGGCGGTTCAGGGGCGAATGGGTTAAATTCTCTTCGAAAAATTAAGTTTTTACTAAAATCGACATGTGAAAATATCACCAATCAAAAATCATAACTGGTGCAAAGGATAGCAAACATTTCAATTCTTAATTAAATAAGGAAATAACGAAAGAAACAAAGCCAAGTCAAGTTTGTCACTGCGTAGGGCTGTCTTCGTCTGATGATTCAAACACGCGCTTGATACATTTGAAGCTTCGTGTAATCCAAGAACTATAAGTAATCTTAACTGTTTGTTCTCAATGCACAATTGAAAATGAGTGAATTTAAGTAAAATAGCCAGTTTCAATTATAAGCTTAAGCTTAAATGGTTAAATGAAAGGCAATGTAGCTCCAACAAAAAGCACAACAAAAGCTTACGTCTCGTTCTGTTTATCCCTTTCCGCTGTTGTTTCGCCGGTTCTTGTTTTTTTGGTCTTCGATAAACTTGTCTATAGGTTTGTCTAGAGACACAAACCTTCTTGATTGTTCAGCCATCCTCAAAAATACCTCCTAGCTATTGATAAGTTTGAATTACGAACAACTCGAGTACACCGAAAATATTATCTTGTCAAAGCTGCCCCACAAAGCTCCCCGCTTTACCCGAAACATCAAATTGACTGGGACTATCCCTTTAGTGATTAGAGTGAGGCTCTTATTTTATCAGTGGCGTGCGGAAATTACCAAATTGTTACCTTGCTCTGTAGTTTTCTTCTCTTCAGAGAGCTTCAAATTTTCCAACTGTGATGTCAATACTGTAAACAATAAGGTTAAGGTTAAGGTTGCACTTATTCGATTGTAGGTTTACCTCTTAAAGTGCTCACTTCATACTACAATACTTGTTTGGAGGAAAAAGGCTCTCAAGTGTACAAAAAATAATGCTCTGTGAAAAAAAAATGCGAAAAAAAAGTAAACAAACATTCGAACACCTGGCACATTCTGTCTAGTAGCTAGTCAGTGTGCGACAAACGCAGACTCAGACTGCAGACTGGCAGGTAAACAAGGTAAACATTGTTGTGAAATGCTCTAACAGATTACCTATCCCTAAACTAGACTTTTAGAAGACTTAAAGTTTAGGGATAGAGTATCTGTTAAAGCATTTCACAACAATGCTTACCTCGTTTACCTGCCAGTCTGCAAGTCTGCAGCCTGAGTTTGTCGCACACCGCTAGTAGCTACATGTAGCAAAGCGCGCGTAAAAAATGGAAGACGCTAACCAACTGTAAGTGCAGAGTAAAAGCAGGTAAAAGACAGTAAGCATAGCCAAAGTGGCTGAATTTGCACTTACATTGGCAGCTCTCCTGCAAGTCTAGAGCGGGACTAAATCCCCACCAGGTTATTGCTCCAAATCCGTCCGCCATGTCGGTACTAACCAACTAAAAACATTCAAATCTCTTTCATCCGGATGAGTCCGCCATTTTACTTTTTCGGACAGAGGGGACTTGGTGCTGGTCATGCGCAATAAACTCATGTTTTCCAACATGGCCGCCCTGAGAGTGAAGATGATGAGCTCGGGGAATGTACGACAAATCGCTCTGGTGAGGAATTCATCAAACGTGAAAGTTTTTCCGTTCTCACAGCTAATCATAGTTTAATTGTTTCGTTCTTTGGGTATGTAATCATGTCCGGTAGCGCTGAGAAGGTAACAGGTCGTTTCGATACAAAGTCGTTTCGATACCTACGAACTCTGGCAAAATGGTACAAAAATTTCGATTACTTTAATCTTTAATGATTATACTCCTAAAACAGTTTTAATCGGCAATGTTTCCGTATAACCCCAGACATTAATTATGCATACATCAATTGTTAGAAGAAAACAAAAGAAAGAACAATATCAAGCCTTTGGGATTTCAGTATCATAAAAATGTTTGAGCCATTACAGCGTGCACTGTCTCAGTTGGAAAATTATTGTAATATTTAAAATAACTGGAACCAAATTAAAACAATTTGAGAAAAGAAAAGTCCATGTGAATGATCGGCTTTCCCCAAATTGTCTTGTTTTAGTAAGGAAGGTCACAAGAGATGAGGTCGTATTCCTTTGTGTTCCCGCGTTCATGTCGGACAGAACTCTTCGGAGTATCTTTGGAATGTCCTCGGAGATATTCAGATATTATGAGAATCCTACGAAAAATCCTGGCACTCTCAGCATAAAAATGCCACACCTATAAATTTAAAATAGTTGGCAGGTATAATATCTAGCCAGAGTTTTTGAAAACAGGCTTCAAAAAAGGCCCAGAATATTGGCACGGTTTCTGGTGACTGCAGTGAGAATTTTCATTGGGGGCTTGCCATCTTGGTTAATCTCATTATCAAGCTCAGTCCCGAGCTAGCTTGCCATGGGGTGGGAAGGGGTCTCCATGTCAATCCCTAACAGGAGGAGGGTGCTATAAAAGTGTGGTATGGCTAGTTAGTCTGTCTGGAGAATCTGTTCATTGATCATGTATCTGCTTTAACTTTGTCATGCCAAATTCGTCAAATGCTTCAAGCCAATAGGCCAATGAAAGGATTTCCCTCACTGATGTGCTCGGCTGGGAGGCTGTGTCAGGTCAGTGGGGGTGATGTGGCCTTGAATTCTTTGATTAGAGATGTGGCCTTGAACCTCAAGCTGCCCCTGTCATATAGGACCTTAAAACAACTAGAGTGCATGGCCAAGTTGAGAGTGTCCTTTTTATAGACTTGAATATTTCTTTGCTAATCTCCAAGAAGAGAGTCACCTTAGAAGGCTTATGGGTAAGCAGGGACCGCGGAGGGGGAGGGGCTGGTAGGGCCGCGGCCCCACCACTTTTTTGCGCCCCCGCCCCCACTTTTGGAAAATCAAATACTATGATTTTATTCTTTTTTTCAATTTTCAATATGAAAAAATTATTTTCAATCGTCAGCCCTCCCACTTTTCACCTTGTTCCGCGGTCCCTGGTAAGGGCTGAATTTCTTTATAATATTGGTCATTNCCCTTTATTTAAGTCAAGTCAAGCTGTGTGGCCTAGAGTTGTCAGCTGGTGCGGTTTTCATACATTTGGCTAGGTATATACAAACACAAATGAGCACACAATTAAATGGCCTCATAAAAGGAATATGAATAAAATATAAAAATACAATACTTCAAGTATACTTTGCTTGTGAACAAGAAAAACATTTTGAGCAACAATTCTTAAAGCCAAGTACATAACACTATTTACAGCTTGACTGAATAAACTTGTATTGAAACGACTTAAATCAAAACTACTGTGTATCACAACCACCAGTAACTGTTGAAAATTGTTAAATCAGGAATCTAATCAAGATCGGAGTGTGTCTCCTGGCCCTAATCCCCATTTTCTTTCACATAATGTACCCGAAAGTAGAGAAAGTCAGTCTGCTGAACACTGAGTATTTTGATATTTTTGTCCAACTGACCCCCTATCAATGCCACACATGGACACACTTTGTTAATTACAACTCAAGGTGAAGGGTGCTTATTAATTATAGAGGTTTCAGATGATTTACTCTTTGGGTTGCATCAGCTGGCTAAAGGCCAAGATGGAAACTATATAATCATTGATTGGTTCCAGAAAAAATTAGATGCCAGTGATAAATGTTCCTCTTCCCCCCATGAATCATAGACAAGCCAGACCACTCAACTCAGTTCAAGGTCCCCCACTCTTTTTGAACAGTGGGGATTCTCTTGTGTTTCCTTTGAATAAGGAGGAATTATTATTAAGAAAGGATGAGGGAGAGAAGGCCAATGGCTAAACGTAATCACCCAATGAAGGGCGTGGGCCCAGTTCCTCAAAGGATGGTTAAGTTTAACCGAAGATTAAGCCAAATTTGAAGCACAGTTTTCTTGTCTAAGAGTGTGTATCTCAAGCCTACAAAAGACTGTTTAGCCTTTACTCTGACATACAGTAATAATAATATAAAATGCTGCTCTACGCAAGGAACAGAGGGTAAATACAAAATAGTGGAACAAAATTTGAGTCCTGGATTAGTGCTAACAGCCTTTCAAAAACCAGGCCCTGGTTGGTAGTCTAGCCAGTGTTCAAACCCAGTCAGCAAAAACCAGCAGTTTTAACCAGGGGCAGTTCAATGCTGCTTGTGCAATACCTCAGAGAATATCATCACTCTTAATACGGCATTTATACCTAGAAAATCTACTTTCCTTTGGCTACAATTTATTACAGGTACAATACTCTTTCTGTCTATTATTTCACAGAGAATACCACCAGTAATATGTAGATTTATGTCTAATGGCTCTGCAGCAGGAGGAGGTGATCCTCAGAAGCCAACTTCTTCAATTTCATCACAGGATACTGGTGAGTTTTATAAATGCCAGGAAAAAACGATGAAGATGCATTTTGTTTTTTGAAGTGCTTCACAAGTTTCCCTGTCAACAATAGTTATTGTGACATTTACCCTTGGAGCAGAGGCTACATTTTTTGTGAACTGTGATGGGAAAAGTAGCCTAGCCTTCATTTGTATGCAAGTTCACGCAAAGAAAGTTGTCTCCAATAGCCCAGGACTAGTGGATTTTTTCAGGCTAGCAAATTCTTTTCCTAGCTTGTCCAAAAGGCAAGTGAAGTTTTTTTTTTTGAGGAATCCAAAGTATAGAACTACTGTAGTCAGTCCTGCTAATCTAAATATTGTTTTTGGGCGAGTTAAAATGACTCTTGGGGTTCCCCGATGGGCAAGCTAAAACTGACTTCATGCACCCTGAATATCTGACATTTTGTATCTCATCCCAGAAAGATTTATCTCTCAATCTATGACTGCTCAATGTTAGCAGAGGTAATATACTTTGTCTTGATTTGAAGTAGCAGGAGCATCTGGACTGATAGGTTCACTTTTGCTGAGACTTACTGGAAATAGTGAATAAGCAAAAATGCTTTCACAGGTCAAGAATATAGTCCAGTGATGATTGAACAGTGACGTTTCTCAGCACCAGCTTCTGGCAATGTTCTGCTTCAGGGAAAAGAATAATCTCCCAGGGGGAATTTTTTGAGGACGTTTTGGGTGGGGATATACGACTGGGTCCCAGATAACCTTAGCCTATACCAGGTCTTGTTCAGCTAAATTTTGATACTCCCTATTAGACTAAAATCTTTAAGTGCCTCCCTATCTTCGAGTTGCTATTTTCCAGAAGCTGCTAATTAAGTTGAAATGTTCTTTGCCAACTCCACTCTTGAGTGTTAATTCCCAGTTTTCCTAGTGCTTGAATTCCCTAAACTACTTCTTATAAGTCCTGGGCTTATGCATCTTCATAAGGGGTTTTAGGAAGGCTTATAAAATTAATGGAGGAGGGGGCTTATAACCAGAATAGAAAAAAGACTTTGAAACAAGCTCCAAGAGTGCTGATCAAAATAGGTTTTACATTTACTGGTTCTTAAATAAGCTTCAAAAGGTCATAATGAATGTAATTCATTTCAATACAAGCTAGAGTGGGGCGGGGGAGGGGGGGGCTTTTAATTGGATGTACTTTTTGTTTACAAGTAAATGGGCCTATAACTAGGGAAACTTATAAGCAGCAGTTTCAGGATTAGTTCATTGACCTGAAAGAAGATTCGACCCTCGAAAGGTACTACCATATTTTGTTTTTTTCCTGACGTCATAATGAAAGTGATTTAATTCAATACAAGCGAGATGGGGGGAGGGGCTTTTCATTAGATGTTTTTTTTGTTTACTGGTAGATGGGCCTATAACTAGGGGGGCTTATAAGTGGGGAGACAGGGTTATAAGTAGGGGGACAGGGTTTTAAGTGGTAGTTTCCAGGATTAGTTCATTGACCTGAAAACCGATTTGACCTACAACGGCTACAACTAAACCAAATATTTTTTCCTTTTTTTGACCAACAGCACCCAAACCAGAATCCTTGGAGAAAAGCACTTACAAGGTTCAGGAGTATTATTCATACAACGATTATTCATTCTATGATTTGGAAAATGTGATAGACTCCTCAGGACGGAGACAAATCCAGCCTGACCCAAGACAGCGTTATAATCATACAGATCCGTGGTCCAAGAAAGAGTCAAGTACAGCCTAGCTCCAGGAAGGAAATGCTGGTCATAAGACCACTTTTTCTCTGACTCCGGCTTGTTTCTTGTAAATTTCAGGAGATGGTTTTTGTATATTAAAAAGTTCACTAGTTTTATGTGGATATAAACGGTTGCAATCACAAGTATTGTTAAGGGTAAAATGTATACTTGACTTGAATTGTTTAATAAACATTAGAATAAATTATGCTGTTCTTGGGCTGTTCATTTGGCTTCCCTTCATCAACCTCATTCCCAGGGTCCTCTCCTACTCGCTTGTCTCTCACTGGGAACGAGGTTGTTTGTCCGACCGCTGTCATTGGGTTTGATTTTAATTTTTGTTAAGGTCGCTCAACCCAGTTTTTTTGTAGGTACACTTTCCATCTTCGAATCTCATGGACTTCAAAAACAAATTTATCTTTATTTTAAAACCATTATAACACATGTATTACACATAGATTAAACTTTATTGTGATATCATTTTTTTGTATCGATCGGAATAAATATCACGTGACAGTGACATCATAATAGTTTTAAATGTAAATCGAATGCCGCCATATTTGCCGTAGTTTTGCTTTCTAATAAACGAGACGCCTATTCCTGATCTTGTCTGCGTTTTTGTACATCAGAGTGAAATTATTTGTTCTCGTTTCACTGCAGAGTGATTAGAGAACAACGGATGTTTCCATTTACATGGGCAAACCGGTCAGTCCATGGTTTAGGTATATGGTACGCAAAATTCAGGACTGGTAAATTTAATTCCGGAATCGCGTTTACCACTTGTACCAATCAGTACATTTCCACTTACTGAAAAATAACCGCGAAGACCTGAAATTGGTATCAAAGATGACTGCTTTAAAGAAATAAAACACGAATACATGTATTCCATCCGAAAAAAAAAACAAGACTATCTTTTCAGATGTCAGTTGCTCCTGGAAATTTTCCGCTAGATCGAACCAAAAACGCGCGTTTCCGATTTACTTTCCATTCGGATTTCGTGAAACCTTTTGGTAAATGGTAAAAAACCAACAACTTTACACGAGCAGAACTCTTTTCTGTACATTTATTGGCCGTCACTGCACGGCCAGTACGAAGTGAAAGCACCAAAAGTCTTGTATATTGGAAAACATAATCACGCGACGAAGAAAGGTGCTTTCTTTCTGAAATTGCATATGGTTCTTAGTAATTTAATACCGGAGCGTTGAACACTGGTAGAACCCGAATTCCTTTTGTAAGCGACGCCCGTATTCCCCGTTGTTTGCGCTCTCGGATTTTAAGGGGAGATTCTGGTTAAAAAAAATGCAATACAATACAACGAACTTTATTTGAGTGTCAATGTATTTGACACGAAAGTACGTAATTGAAGACACTATTCTTACGTCTCCTACTGCAGGCTAATTGGTACATGTGTTAGGGTTTTTCTACCTTTATTTCTTCCATTTTCAATTTAACCCCATCCCCTCACCCGGAAAAAAAAATAAAACAGACTGCCGCCTTGAGGTCGGTCCCTTATACTCGTCGATGAAGTGACTGGACTAAAATGACAATCGTTTATTCACCATTCTGCAACTGATACTATAATATCCAAAGGTTTCACAAACATTTAACCTTAAACATGTAATTGATTTTACTAACTGTAACACCGTTGTTTTTAAAACTAATTATTTCGAAATATTTCTCATTTTAATTAAAAGCGTTTCACAACGCTAATTAATAACAATAAACTGTCCCTTCTATAAATGTAAGAATTAATAAAGACTTTACAACGAGAAAGTGATTAACATTTGTTGAAACATTATGCTAAAAATATTCATAACAATGACTACGATTATGAAACTTGCAAACGTCAATGCAAAAGACAGCATCATTCTGCAACTGGTAGTATCAATCCAAAATGTTTAACAAACATGTAACCTTCAACATGTAAAATATTTAACTGTTACACTGTTGTTTGTTGTTTTTAAAACTAATTAACTAATTATTTCAAAATAACTTAACCTTAAACATGTAATTGATTTAACTGTATAACACCGTTATTGTTACAGTAAAACTAATAATTTTCAAATAATTCTCATTATTATTATTAGAGTTTCACAACCCTGATTAATAACAGTAAACTGGAGGCAAGATTTCATTCTGACTTTACAACGAGAAAGCGATTAACATTTGTTAAAAGCATTATGCTAAAAATATTCATAACAATCAGCGAGCACTAAGACCAAATTAAAACGGAACAATTACATTTGAAACTTGCCAAAAATATGCCCTATTTTAACAGGTAAAAATTTACTTTAACAGGGGTCGATTAGTAAGTGTTTCAGAAACGTTGAACAATATTGAAATAACTTGAACCGTTGATGCTTTGTTCATTTGCTGGCCATGTCCATAAGAATCTGCGCAGCTGTATGAAGCCCACAGTACTGAAATTCCGGATTCCAGAGGATTGGTGTAAGCGCAACCACAGGTGCTGAGAAGAATTGGCTTCCAATAGCTGTAGAATGACTGCAAAGAAGCAGAACAAGGAATGGGTAATTTCAAGTTCTTCAGTTTTCTTCGGTGGCCTCTTTATTGAAGGCGTTAGGTCGGTAGACCAGAAATACTTAATTCTACCTTTTTGGAGGAACAGGAACAGGAAGAAAATTTAACGCAACCAGATATCGGGCTGGGGAGTAGTGTGTGTCTGTGTTTCATGTATGGTGTATGATCGAATATGACACCAGCCGAATTCTACGTTTAGGACAGGACACAATTTTGAGAGTTAGGACTTGATCAGAGTTTAGATCAAGTAAGTGGTGGCCTAAAAAGTTTAGCAAAGGCTGTTGATAAGTGAGGCAAAGAATACACTAAATAGAGAGAAGAAGTCGTTACGTCACGTTGCCACGGTAGCAAAATTTCTGGATGACAACAAACCAAAACGTCACTTAAAGAGTGGATTCGCACTGTTTCACTGAAAAATTTATCGATCTTATTCAATTTCATTTAATTTGTCAAATGTTGGCGAAATTTTCAGGGTCAAATCTGAAGAGACCGTACTTAAGTTAAGAAAAAGAAAAAAAAAAACATTTTTGTGTTGTGTTTACCTACTCCATCAGTGCCGGCGGGCGAGTGAAATTAGGAAGTTTCGGTCGTGCAACAACGGCTAAGAAATGTACAAAGAGCGTGATGCCTGTGCTAAGTTTTTCTTTTGCCAATCTAAACCTATTGCTTAAATTTTGCTGTTCGCGTCGCCGTTGCAACAACTCCCTGTTGTTGTGATCCACAAATTTTGCTACTGTGGTAACGTGACGCCACACTTCTGCTCTCTAATGTTAGAATTAAAAAATCCCCTAGCACTCAAATAAGAAGAAGGAGGAGGAGGAGGAGAAGCCGGAGAAGGCCGTCAGTTAGAGTGTAGTATTTTATTTATCCACATGCCAGTAAACTACTGGAAACGTTACGATACAGCATCAGTACTTTACCTTGATGGCAGCCAGTCCGGCATGAACGTCCGGTCACACATCCCTGGCCAGTGGTTCGATGAATTTGAACCTGTAACAGCTATACATCAAATTGGAAAACTCGCATTTAAATACTCTGGTCAATAATATGATTTATTTTATTTACTTTGAATCTACCTAGACCTCCTACGTATAAATCTGGCATTCCGCTTTCATACTGTACCACGTAAAGTTTAGGGCAAAAACCGAAGGTAAATTTAACCACAGGGGCAAATATTCCGATTACGTTTCGCATTCTGTTCGTTGCTTCTACAAAAAAGGTTGTAGTGTCGGGGTAGTCTTATCAATATCACAGCGGTAAAGTGAAAATATCCAGACTCGTAGTCATACTTACCCAGAGATGGTGCTGCAATGTTCGCGCCTGAGAATGGTGTGAACGCTGATGTAGACGCGGTTGAAGGAACTAAAGGTACTTGCTTATTCCACGGCTGAGGACTGATATAGAAATGCGTCAGTACGGCTTAAAACAACAATCCTGATCAAAACGTTTGCGACACTTTGCGTTTTAGGTGAGGAAAATGTAAGCCAAGTTGATCCCCCTCCCCCCGGTGAACAGTGTTGGGTGTTACAAGTCAAACACCTTTTACATATCTTGTTCACTTTATGGACCTCAACTTTGTTTAGGGGGGGTGGGGAAAAATCTTGTTGAGGCCGAGTTTATGAGTGTGTATCGCAGGTTAGCTGCAAATTCCATACAAAACCAAGTGAAAAAGGGGAGGTGTCTCAACACCTTTTTGCCAGGATTGAAGGTTGGCAATAGTAGGTTGTTTCCTCCCCGTTACCTAAACATAAGTTATGAAGTTGATTGAGGGGCAAAGACTGCCGGAGGTGGAAGCCTGTTGTGAGCTAACCTGAGATCACGCTCTATTTTCGTTTCGCTTTATAAATTATATTTCGGCGGGCAAGGCGGAAGTTTAGCGCGACCACGTAAGAGAGAATTTATGAGAACTGCTAAAATTGGGCCTGATCTCAGGTCACTTGCAAGCCTGCCACTTGAATCTTTGGAATCGCGTGTGAAAAGTTCTACGCAAGCACGTACGCAACATAATTTTTTTCTTACGTATATTTTCCTTATTATTTTTGTCAAGAATCAGATTCGATTTTCAAGCCGGATCATCTACAAAGAATATAAGTCCCAGTCCAAGCTTACAGGACTTTAAGGCTTGGACTGTTTGCTCCACTGCTTTTTATACATTTTCAGTTCACTTTTCTTACGGTTAGTTAGTCCTTGCATAAAACACAACACCGGTGATGTAACTCACCTTTAAATTATTTGGGCTAAGATTTATATTCATTCTTGGACAACCAATAAAAACTTTCCAGGAAACTAAATTCGAAGTTGAACAAAACTCAAGGACTTTTCAAGGACTAGCACAGAAATATAAGCACTTTTCAAGAAAAAATTAAAATTTCAGCGCTTTTCAAGGACCACATAAGATTTTCAATTAGGGACTGAGTTTCAAGACCGTGTGAACCCTGGGTCATAAGTGGAATCGAACGCTGTTTTCATGACATAATAACACTCTATACTACTGATTTTACTCCGACTCCATCGCTAGTGAAATATAACCTTTATCAAGCGCAACGTAGTAATACATATACCGTGTGGCAGGAAATTTTGCGGATTAGCGATTTTTTGTGTTTTGCGGGAACTAATTTTTGCGATTACGACAGATTGGTTTCTAGCGGGGAATTAATGTTTGC